TCTTGCAGGATATTGCAATCGCGCCGCTCCCCCCCCCCCCCTCTCTCTTTCTCCGTCTTTATTCCCGCTCTCTCCGTCTCTTCTCTGTCTCTGCCTGTCTGTCTGTCTCTCTCTCTGTCTGTCTCTCTCTCTCTGTCTCTCTCTCTCTATGTCTCTCTCTCTCTCTCTCTCTCACACTCAATCTCTCTCTCTCTCTCTCTCTCTCTCTCTCTCTCTCTCTCTCTCTCTCCTCTCTCCCTCTCTCTCCCTCTCTCTCCCTCCTTCCCCTCTTTCACCTATTCCACTTTTCCTCTCCCTCTCTTGCCTACTACCCTATCACCCTCCTTCTGCTATCGTTGCCTGTTCGGTTCCTTTCCCTCCTCTTCTACTCTCTCTCCATCTTCCTTCCCTATTACCCTCCTCCCTCCACTTCCCCTCCTTTCTTCCCCCGTACCCTCTCCCTCTCTTCCTCTCCTTCTCCTCTCATTTCCTCTTCCCTCCTCCCCTCCTTCCCCTCCCCCTCCTCTTACCCTCCTCCCTTCTCCCCTCCTCTACTCTCCTCTCCCTTCCTCGTCCCCTCCTCCCTTCTCCTCTCCTCCCTACTTCCCATCTTCCATCTTCATACGCGCTGGTTGACACATTTTCCTCTAAAAGTTTGTGAGGTCATTTTTTCTCAGCGTTCTTGGTGTGCATGGGTGAAAGGTAGCCATTTTTTGTCCCACCACCTGTTTAAATACCTATCTTTCTTTACCTATCTATATATTTTTTTTCTCTCTCGTTACTTATCTGTTTACCTGACTATCTGTTCCAGTCTGTTTCTATCTATTTGCCAATCATTGTTTCTGTCTCTTGACTGTGTGGTTTTCATTGTCTCTCACTATATCTAGGCTTATCTTTTATCTCTGTATTTGCACCCTCTCCCTCTCATCCCCCCCCCCCCCTCTCTCTCTCTCTCTCTCTCTCTCTCTCTCTCTCTCTCTCTCTCTCTCTCTCTCTCTCTCTCTCTCTCTCTCTCTCTCTCTCTCTCTCTCTCTCTCTCTCTCTCTTTCTCCCTCCCTCCCTACCTCCCTTTCCTTTCCTTCTCCCTTTTCCCTTCCCCTCTCCCCCTCCCCTCTTTCTCATATATAGATAGGTAGGTAAGTAGAGACGTTAGGTATGTAAATAGATGTACAGACACATTTATTTATGTATATATTTGTAGGAACATAGCTATGAGTGTGTATATTTTTTTAAAATAAATATGACTGAAGTCGTGTCCTTGTTTGCACAGCGAGCCTCCCGTAACGAGCACATTTCAGCGGCCTCGTTGACACAGAAGCCGATGTAATGGCTCCCCCCCCCCCCCCCCTCCCGCGCCTCGACCAAATGAGTTCCGGTAGTGACACTCATCGCCCGTGCTTCAGCCGCTGTTTAGTGTGTGCGTGTGTGTGTGTGCATGTGTGTGTTTGTGTGTTTGTGTTTGTGTGTGTGTGTGTGCGCGTGTGCGTGCGTGCGTGTGTGTGTGTGTGTGTATGTGTGTGTGTGTGTGTGTGTTTGTGTATGTGTGTGCGTGCGTGCACACTTGTGTCTCGCGTGCAGAGATGAATCACGCCGCCACGTAGCCCATGTTAGTGGGAGAGGAGGAAAATGTGTGCTTTGTTCTTATTATTGCGGGTGTGGATGTATACGAAGCTGGAGGTGTTGTTTTGATCTCTCTCTCTCTCTCTCTTTTCTTTCTTTGCATCTCCCTTTGCTACTTCCTTCCTTGTTTTCTTATCTCCTCTCTTTTCTCCCCTCTTATTACCAGCTCTCTCTGTTTTCTCTTTCCTCTTCTCTCTCTCCTCTCTCTCTCTCTCTCTCTCTCTCTCTCTCTCTCTCTCTCTCTCTCTCTCTCTCTCTCTCTCTCTCTCTCTCTCTCTCTGTGTCTCTCCCTCTCTCTCTCTCTCTCTCTCTCTGTCTCTCCCTCTCTCTCTTTCTCTCTCTATGTCTCTCCCTCTCTCTCTCCCTCTCTCTCTGTTTTCTCTTTCCTCTTCTCTCTCTCCTCTCTCTCTCTCTCTCTTCTCTTCTCTCTCTCTCTCTCTCTCTCTCTCTCTCTCTCTCTCTCTCTCTCTCTCTCTCTCCCTCTCTCTCTCTCCTCTCTCTCTGTTTCTCTTCCTCTTCTCTCTCTCCTCTCTCTCTCTCTCTCTCTCTCTCTCTCTCTCTCTCTCTCTCTCTCTCTCTCTCTCTCTCTCTCTTCTCTCTCTCCTCTCTCTCTCTCTCTCTCTCTCTCTCTCTCTCTCTCTCTCTCTCTCTCTCTCTCTCTGTCTCTCCCTCTCTCTGTCTCCCCTCTCTCTGTCTCCCCCTCTCTCTGTCCCTCTCTCCCCCCCCTCCCCCATCTCTCTCTCTCTCTCTCTCTCTCTCTCTCTCTCTCTCTCTCTCTCTCTCTCTCCAACCACATATCTCCTTCCCTCCCTCCCTTCGTCCCTCCTCTCCCTCCCCTTCTCCCTCCGTCCCTCCCTCCCTCCTCTCCCCCCCCTCTCCCTCCTCCTCCCCCGCCACATCTGCGTGTTCCAACCGACCCGGTTTCCGTAACACCTGTCGGCATTTCGCATGACACAATGGCTGTTTGTTATTGCTCACCTGTGCCCTCCGTGACCCAGATCACGTGGGCGATAAGGTGACCTCGGCGCTTATTTCCTTCATAAGGTCAGCCGAGGCAAGGTCATCGACATCTCGACCTTTGGAATTAAAGGTCCGCGCCAACAAGGTCTGAGGACGTGCCCCCTCCTCTTCCTCCGCCTCCCCCCCCCCCCACCAACCCTCGACAGTTTTTGTTTTCTTGCTCCTCTTCCTTCGCCCTCTTCTACAACCACTGTACCTTCTCTTCCTTCTCCTCCTCCCTGTCCCCTTCCCCCTCCCCTTCTTCCTCCTTCACCTCCCCCTTCTGCAGCTCCTCCTCCTCCCCCCTCCTCCCTCCTCCCTCCTCCCTCTCTTCCCTCCCCCCTCCCCCCCTCCCCCCTCTTGTTACTACTGTAACCCTTCCCCTTCCTCCTCTTCCTTTCTCCTTCCCTCTCCTCCACCTCCTTCTTCCTTCCCCCTCCTCCTTTTCCTACGCCCTCCCCCCTTTCGCCCCAGCCAGCAAAGCGGGAAAGGTCACGCACCTCCTAAGGAAGCGGCGCCGAGGTACTCCGAGTCACGTGATGCTGTGGGCTTGAACCTCCTCCTTCACCTTCTCCTCCTCCGGTTTAACTGTTTTTTCTTTGTATCCTCTTTCTGTGTCTCTTCTCTTTTTCTCCCACTATCCCTAATTATCCTTCCTTTACTTCCTACTCTCCTCCTTCCTATTCCTTATTCATCATCTCTCTCTCCCTCCCTCTCTCTCTCTCTCTCTCTCTCTCTCTCTCTCTCTCTCTCTCTCTCTCTCTTTTATTTCTTTCTTTCTCTGTCTTCCCCTCTCCCCCTCTCCCTCTCTATCTAGTTTTCTCCCCCCCCCCCCCCCCGTGCATCCGTTGCCCCGCCCGTACCAGGTAGTGATGCAGTCGCGAGCAGGGGGGAGGGGGAGGGGGGGAGGGTGACGACATTGAGCTTGAGGCGGTTGTAAGTCATCTTCCACGGTTAGGGGGGAGGGGGAGGGGGAGGGTATTGTTAATGGTAATGGAGAGGTGGGGTAGGGGGTGGGGAGTGGGGTTTGGGGGTTGGGGGGGGGGGGTGGCGATGGTGTCTTTGTGTAGCAGGTCTCGTTGTGTTTGAGAGAGAAGGCTGTAGCATTTTTAGACTTCTCTCTTTTCCTTCTTTTTCTTTCTTTCTTTCTTTTTTCGTTGTGGAATGGTTTGCTTGTGTTTTGGTTGTTGTTTTCTTTTCTGAGTTTGGATATACGTGTTTTTTTTCTCGGTTCTCTCTCTCTCTCCTCTCTCCTCTCTCTTTCTCCCCCTCTCCCACCCTCCCTCTCTTCCATCCGTTCCACCTATACCTCTCCTCTTTCATTCCTCTCTCCTCTCCCTTTCTCCCCCCTCCCCACCCCCTATCACTTCCTCTTCCCCTTCCTATTTATTACGTGTTCCTCACTCCCATCAGTGACTAATTCCCAGCTCCACACCTTTCCCGCCGCCGCCGCTCCGCCCGCGTCATGAGCCGATTGCATGACGCATTCCCCGGCAGTGACGTCGGCCTCCCCCCCTCCTCGCCCGCCGTCGCTTTGCCGCGTCGGAATAAACGGCGACGTCAGCGACGGTTGCGGGCTGCGAATGGCTGACGAATGTGCGGACGTCGGCGCGATTTTCGAAAATGCGGCGGATCACGAACGGCGTTGCGGTCGGGTTGGTGCGATTTACGAATGCAAGGGTTTTCTCGCTGTGCGGTTACGGTTCACGAATTTCAGCTGAACGAAGGCTTCGGCGAGACTGCGTTTTGTATGGCACGCCCTTCCCCCCCTCTCCTCCGTGCGCTTATTTCTTCCTTTATTGATTTTATTTGATTATGTACAATCAGGAAAAAAATAAGTATCGTTTCCATTTGCACAAACTAATATGAAAAATCGACGAAGCGGTGTGGAATATCGAGACAAGGCAGTTAGTACAATAATCGTTCAGTTCCTTATTGAATGCAAATAAAGGTAACGATATTTCTTTCCGACTGAGTACTTACTCCTGTTACTTATTCATGACGTCGGTCCGTGGCATAAGCCTACGTGTACTTGCCTGTACGCCTTTTGTTCAATTATGGCGTCGTCGGGAAATTTTCGTTGTTGCGTCAGGCGTGCATCCGGGTTTTGGCGGCGGAGGGGGGAGGGGGTTGTGTGGGAGGGGAGATGGGGTTGTGTATCTGCGTATTGTGGTTGTATTCAGTCTGGAGCTCCAGGCAAATTACTGAACTGCTTTAATCCGGCTCGCGTTTTCATTCGTCTTTATTAAATATTTTCTTCTTTTTTTTATTTGTAATGCTATTACTCTCTCGCATGATATTTCTTTCGCTATATATTTATCCGTCTACCCATCCATCTATCTACCTTTATCTCTTTTCTTCCTTTATTAACATGCCCTGAGAGTCTCCTTTCCCTCCCGCAGGTGTGAGTGTCCAGCGTGATGGGCGCAGGCGACGGCGACGCGGCGGCGACGCCCACATTGGCGGCGGCGGCGACGGCCTCGAGCACCGCCTCCCCCGCCCTCGCCGCCTCCTCCACGCTCGCGCCGCCCTCCGTGCTGGCCAGCTCCACCATGCCGCCCGTGAACCCGCAGGAGCCGCTGCTCTTCCTGCAGACCACCGCCGCCCAGGCCATCGCTGGGGCGTTCGTGTGGGCGGCGCTGCTCATCACGTGCCACCAG